CAGACTTCCTGATAAATCCTAACTCCAGTGAGATTAACAGGCCACATCGTTAACAGCAAAGACCACCCAACCAGTAGCACAAAGGAAAACGGTTAAACCTGACTTTATCAAAGACAGACCAACAACACATTAGTGCGCTGATGAAAACACCACCACGTAACTGAGGATACTTGTTGGTCTAATTCATGAAAAGAATAAAAGATAAGAATTTACTGCGATACTTAATACTTGCATAGCAGAAGAACTAGTAAAACATGTATTTGAGTAGTTGATGTATTTTGACACAAAATAATTCCACTTCCAGTTGGGCCTTTCTGTTACACTGGTCACTGCCTTGGGAAAATGATCTTCCCACATCTGCCTGAATGCAGTACCATTGAGCAGACTTGGCAACAGCACAAGTAAATAAAAACGTGCTCATCTGATGCTCACCAGGCTAGATTTTTGACCGGAAAGCAAGATAATTTGAAATGCTTTCCACTTCATCTTCATGCTTTCCATCTTCGTTTCTGGGGAAACCAAGGCATAACTGTTTTAAGTGACTTCCTAGATTCACTGAGCAGTACAAAAAAATTTCCTAAATCCTTGATCTAAAGCATAGCTCTTAGATGACCACAGTCATATATACTTAGATACATCTCTGTACCTTACCGGCCCTGTATTTTATTGCATTTTTGCAATATTGGTCGTGTAGCAAAACAAATATTTCCAGGCCAAAATACAAAAAAGAACTCAACAAAAATGTGCATTAATACATCAAACACTTTAAATAAAATGTATCATAAAATGTAGTTGAAGGTACATACATAGTTTCTTCCATGTTGCCTTGTAATGTTATTTCCAAATTGTAAAGAAGTTGGATTTTCTCAGTGTGACAAAGTTGTTGTTCTTGAATATAGTTGACAGAAAAATGATGGCAGCCAGTGATGAATGGACTGAACAGACACTGGGAAACTGTTGAAATGATGAGTAGCATCTTGTTTTCCTCACAACATTCACTTCTTAAGTCAACTAATCATCATTTATTTTGAAACTTGGAGAAAAATATCTGATTTGGTATTTTAAACTTGCCTTATAAACTTTCATATCTGTAGGTGACTAACAGTGGATTTTGTTTGGAGGCTTCCCCCCACCCCCTTTTTACTTTTTTTTTACAAATTGACAAATTTGCCTATTCTGTGTGATATGAATGGAAGTTTCTTTGGAGGAAAGACCATTTAAAACAAACACAGCCCAAACACATGCTTATAGCACATAGCTGCCAAGGAGCTAGTACTAAATGTATGTACTTAACACGATCTTCCTACAAAAGCTGGCTCTCTTCCATTACTTTTTATTGCCCTCCTCTGCAAACTTCATCCCAAACGCTAGACACCATTGTGATTCAGAAAGATAGGGAAATGCAACTGATGAAATAGATGCTGGAGATCAATTAGCTGAGGGAGGAGAAGTGGAAGGCAGAAGTCATTTGCCGGTGAGCTTACAGAAATGAGCATACAAATCTTACTTAAACATGTGAAGTTCCGCTGATATAAATGTCAACATTTTCCTGTATTAAATTAGACCCTATGCGAAGTTATCATCTGGTTTTCGGCTAGGTGTTGACTTGAGAAACATGGCTTGCACATCTAAAGGACTGAAATTTCATATATTAACATCATAATTTAATTTCATATTTTTTAAAAGGCTTTTTTTTCCTGGCATTTGAGGGCTGTTCAGAAGGCTCTCATGCAACCCTGTTTTTAGTAGATGGAATAAAAGGTGAAAATATGCTATATGGAGCAGACAATGTGATTCCCTGTGTCTACGTCCCTTGCAACATAGGCAGAAAGTTGCAGGTTTTGCTTTAGACACAGCTGACATCATCTCTGCATTGTTATGTCTCTTGTATGTGCACAGCGTGATCTAGAAAGCGAGTTATAATGGAGACAATCCCACTGCAAGGCTGATAGTAAAAGCTGTGCACAAAAGAACAGTATACCGCTACATACAGCAGAGATACATTGCATTTCTGTTTGTTGTACTCCTCAACATGTTCAAATGATTTCCAGACGATGAGTTTTGTTAGTATAGAATTAAGGTAGGGTTTTAAATTTCATTTAAAGGCCTCAAGATAACCTGGGAGTAAAAATCCCCGCATTTTGGAGCTGAAGTTGAAAAAAAGAATCACTACATATGTGAAACGGAGAAATTGCTGTGATGGATCAGACAACTTCAAAGCCCTATTACTGGTGTTGTCAAGTAACAGAAGCTTCAGAGGAAAAGACAGAACTGGTTCAGGTTAGCTGGGGTACAGGAAGTTGTCCGTTGTCCGTATTCCAGGAAATATGAAAACCTTTAGCTGTTACCCCATCCAAACATCTTACCTCTTTGCATTAACTTAGTGTTCTAATGAAAAGTACTTATCTCCTGTATAGAACGTTCAGGTCAGCTTCTAAGAACTCTAACTTTGTGCTGAAGTTTTCCAAGTGCATAAGAAAATGTGCTCATTTCTGAGGCTGTCACTGTCCAGCTTAATGCCTTACACATACAAAGCTTCCTCCTCAACAAGAACAGAGATGCTGTGCTGTGCTACTTCACACAGCTAGCTGGCTCAGCCAAGTGCCCACAGTGGAGGCTGACTCCGCCTTTACTCAGTTTAACACCCTATCCTCAACTAGAGTACCTTTAAATACCTTTCCACCTCTCTCCATCTATCTCCACAGGTCCAGAAGATGGACAATTTGTTCCATTACCCAACGGAAAACTATCGGGGGACAGACAGCTTCCTTTTCTGCAGCCGAGAGGGCCACGAGATGAGCAACCTCCTACTGTCCCCTCTCCTAAAGTCACACACAGGTGAGTGTAGCAATAGCTCAGACATGGCTTTGTGCACCCATAACCTGCTGAAACCGGTCTCCTGGAGTTGAGATTACTGTATTTATTTATCCTACCTGCTTTGCAGTCTGTTCTTACGCTGCTGCAGTGGCCAGTGCCATGACATGAGGACACGTAGGCATATCTGAGCTGGCATTCAGGTTGGCAAGTCAGGTTCAGCTAGCAACGAACTACAGTTAGGAATTCCATACACAGAGTCAGGCCAAGATGCTTCATAAATACATGATTATGTTTCAGCCTGTTTGAAATGATGGAAACTACACCCAGTCACCACATCTAAATGTGAGGTCACAGATTCTGAAGCCTTAATCTGTGCTATTTTAAAAAACAAACAGAACTCTTGCCCTATGTTGCAAACCTGGTCACAAACACAGTTATCTACAGTAATACAGAGCGTTAAATGTTTTATAAACAAAATACTTTTATTAGACTAGTACATGGGTTAAATACAGTTGGTATGAAACTACTGTTTCAGTTCATTTCACTAAAGTCAAAGTTACTGTAGATCAACCTCAGGAGGTAATATTTATCTGAAAAAAAAATTTTTTAAAAATAGAGATGGAATTTCTTTTTCCTCTTTTTATTTAGTGTGTTTCAGCAATATAATTTAAACTAGAAAACTTAGCTAATAGACCATAAATCAGAACTTAACTGGAACTGAATATAGACTGTTTTATTGATCTATTCCTGCTTCTGATGTGAAAATTACCCCATCACTACATTTACGTTTCCATTTTGCTAAATATAATTATTTTTCCTTAGGCCTTCTGTAAGAGCTCCATCCAAGAAAAACATCTTGAGTATTCAGAGATACTCCAGGTACCTAATTGAGCTTATTGGGTAACTGCTTCTAAGAAGACCCCTAGGTAGAGAAATCCCTTCTATTGTTTCTTCTTATTTTACAGAAACATCACAACACTATTGACCTATCTGGACACTGGTCGTCACATCCAGCCTGATACAGTACTCAGCAATAGAAAAAATATACTTGGATGTGGCCTCTACAGACCACACTATCACCTGAGTGTTCAGTTACAGTGGTTTTTCATAGATTCATATATTTAAGAAAACTGCTGGTCACGTGCAAAACAAAGAGCAGTCTCTTCTAAAACAAGAGAACCTTTATACAATAAGCAGGCTCAGCATCCCACTTCAGCATGATGCAGTAGCAAGGGAATATGAGCCTCAACTTATATTAAAAAATAGTAACCTGGCATATATAGATACTTCAAGGTCACAGACAGAATTGTGAATTATTACTATTTGTTATTTTAAATCTCAGTTGTATCAGAATCCTCATTCTGACCCAAGTTCTATTACCCTGATGCTGTACAAACAATGCAGAGTTACACTGCGGCTCCTTTGGGATGCTGTTGTGAGCAAAGTTGTTCCTTTTTCATCAGACAGTATGGTTAAAACTGATGACTTCAAATACATCATCCTTTCAGGGACCCATCTAACATTTTGGATACATTTCTATTTTTACACAATATTCCTCAGGGGCTCAATGATCTTTATTATTTTTCTCTCAATCCCTGATTTTAAGGAATGTTATTAGCAACGCTTTGCTCATCAGCTAAAATACTGACCGTTTTCTTGCTCTTCCAAATGCAAAATAAAACCTTAACTTAGGCCTCTTATTTCAGTAACAAAGGTGTGTCAAGTCAGTCCCACTGGCTCACGTTACACGTGGCAACTTACTATACCACTGTAATTAATTGGATCATTTCTAGCATATGCCCATTTCCTCAAAGGTACAGGAGGGGCCTGCCTCTGTTTTCTCTTCATTGATCCTGATGCTACAAAGGTCTTGGCTAGATAACATGAAGAACCTGGACTGCTCTATCGTTTTTAAGGGACAATTGGAAGAAAGGGGTTCAAACTTTAATGAGTATTTCCCCCACCCTGTCACTGTCCAGATTATAGCTCCCCACATAATGTAGGAGCAACATTTTTCTGCAACCTCAACTCTTTGCCAAATAATTTAACTCACATCAGTAACAGCCACCTCTAAACTGAACCTGTCATCCTATGCAAGACTTAACTACATCAACTTAAATTCATGTCAAGTTAAACAAAGGAACCTTTCTTATATAGGATACAGGATTCCTATATATTATATAGGATTCCTTCTACATACCCATTTCCTGGTAGGTTTCCGTACTTTTTGCTGATCTTTTATTGCTGCCCACATACCAGACACTCCGCTGCCAGCACCTCAATATCCCCATTCTCAAAAGATTTGTCATGGATTTATTCTAAAATACAAAATTTGATTGCTCATACACGGTCAGATATTCAGCCCAATGTATATATAGCAAATAGGTTTTGAAAAACACAGGTTTTCCAACAAGTGATTACATTTCCATTAAATATGTGAATACTTCCCCATTATATAGTAAGAATATGAAGTACAGAAAAATTAATTAAGATAATGATCTGGGAAAGAGAAATCTTGGTGTTTTAGAGAGTCATCTCCCGCATCTAGTGGAAATAGCACATATACACTATAAAGTTGTACACAGTACTGTAATACATATGACATAATTTTCCAATTTCCTGGAAGAGAGTAGTGAAAGCCATTTACAAACAACTAGCTCATATTTTCTCCAGAGTAAATGACATGAAATACATGTAGAAACTGGAGTAAGGAGGGATTGTATAGCAGTGTCATTAAAACAGTCAAAAAAGCACTGATCCTGCAGTTGAATCTGAGTAGTCATACACCTGAGCAAGACCAAAAACAGTTTCTCCAAAAAGTCTGATCAAAATTCAGTATAAAATCAGACAGAACAATAATATTAGCTTTTAAAGAGTCTGACAGTACAGTAAGACCATTGAAAATATCCCTGTTTTATCGATTACATTCCAACAAAAATCATAATCTGAATTACAAGTATACTGCATATCTGCATAAGCACCAAGATAATATTAAGTAAAAACTTATCCATCAAGTCCCTCTGATAAATGGTCCCCTATACAAATGAAAATTTTTCATGTACATTTAAGTACTTTTGGCAAGAGGTACAGATTCCATAAAAGAAAAGTCACTGCAAAGTCTGGAAAAAAAATTTAAAACTTAAAAACTCGAAAAAAGATCAAAGGTAGAGCATTTTCTAATGGTCTGATACATAATAAATTCTGTCAGTAAATTCTGGTTTTAGAAATAGCAAAATTCACTCCAGTTCCTGAGATAAACTGCAGATCAATTGCGAAGATTTACCAGATTGTACCAAACTCTCTCTCACCTCCTTTTACACACTGCAAACAAGGTTTGAACTGAAGCTTCTGCTAAACTTACAAGTTAGCAAAGCATGTGAAAGATCAAAACATTCAAATTTTCTTTTCCACTATAAAAACAAGAGACTGGCAACTTAGGTCAGAGACAGATAGACGTTAGCCACAGTCTGTCAAAATAATTTCCGGACAGAGGCAGTTGTTGTAAATTAACCGCACTTGCATCTTTCAAATTAATCTAATTCTTTGTTTCTATCCTGTTTTCCCTGACAACTGCTCTTATTCATCCATCTGCTGTTTAAGAAAGCATACTGTACACGAGTTCAAAATCCTAGGATCAAATTTTTTGAAAGAGTGTGAGTCACCTAACAGCTCAGCATGTCTCTGATTGTAGTACGCCGGAACCATCAATGTGCTCCATTACTACTAGCCATATGGTCAGTTCCTAAGTTAGCATTACTTTTGCGCTCCATCTTCTGCAAAACTGCTGGAAGATCCAGAACAGAAGAAATAATATAATGAGGTACTGGGGAGGTATCTACCGGGGTAGTCATTGCTTTGTTTAACCAGACAGTTGCTTTCAAGCCAGCATTGAGGCCTCCTTGAATATCTGTATCTAGAGAGTCACCAACCATAACGCACTCTGCGGGCTGCACCCCCAGGAGATCGCAACAGTAATGAAATATGGATGGCGCCGGTTTCTCCTCTTTCTGCTCTCCTCCCACAACGATGGCATCGAAGTAGGGCTGACAGGCGCACGCTTCGATCTTCTCCCTCTGCGTCTGTTTGTCGCCGTTCGTCAAGAGCAGCAAGCGGACCCTTTTCCGCAGCTCGGTGAGCATGCCCCGCGTGTCCTCGGCCAGGGTGAGGTGCCGGAGGCGGGTCGTTTTCCACAGGAAATAGCACTCGGCGGCCAGGTTTCGGTTCACCTCCCCCCCGATCGTCTCCTGGATCGCCTCCTCCCAGTGCGAAATCCGCAGGTCGGTGATGCACATCTTGGCGGGATCGTGACACTCCTTGAGAAGCTTGGCCTGGACCTTATCGCAGATCACGCGGGCTTCCCCCTCGCCGTAGCGGTGCTTTGACTGCAGGGCACTGATCACCTTCAACAGACAAGAGGCCCCTCATCAGGGCGCTACAGGCACGGAGCCTGGCGCCGCGCCGCGCCCCCCTCCCTCCCTCCCTCCCTCCCTCCCGCTGACGGCCCCCGAGGGGCCTCCGGCTGCGCGTCGGTGCCGGTCAGGCGGCACCGCGGCCGGCGGGGAGGGGGGGGGGAGACGCGCGGCCCCCGGGCCGGGAGGGGACAAGGGCAGTACCTCCTCGATGGCGCGCCGCCCGGCCGCCGCAGTGTCGACCAGCGTGTTGTCCAAGTCGAAGAACACCGCCTTGACGCCGTGCGCCCCCATGGCGCCGCCTCTCGCGAGAGCCGCCCCGCTCTAACGGCCGAGCCGCGAGGGCGGAGGTGAGCGCCCTATCCGCCGCCAGAGCCGCCCCTGCCGGGGCACGGCGGG